CTCTCTCTCTCTGCAGTTACCTCTGTTCCACGTAGAAAGGGATGAGGGAAGCGCAAGGTGAAGCGGTCAGCGCAACTGAATTGTTGAACAATCGGTTCACTTGTCTGCAGAAAGGGCTCGGATTTAATCTAGGATTTTTGTTTTTCCCCTGCAGAAACGTGGCTGAACGACGGCTGCTGAAAGCGGCTGAGGAAAACTGGTTTTGGGGAATAGCAGCACCATGAAACCAAAGAACAGCGACGGAGATTGGAGTGCTGTCAAATCGGAGGTACAGGTGGATGATCAGTCCACCCTTCCCGCGTCATACCGTAGCTTCGTTGCGTACGGTGGGTATGACGAGCCGTACGCCCCTGCTTGCAAGGTGGAAGAAACAAACTCTTGGGGACAGAGTGTGACACACACACACACAAATCCTACTGTTCAAGAGTGAAAGTGGTTGAATTTGTTATAATTTTCCAAAGCAACAAGAAGCAACAAAACAGCAGCCAAATCCATCTTTATGAACATCTGGGTGCCATAAACGTGGGTCTGGAGCAAAGGACCATGAAGGGGAGTCTAAAATAGAGTGAACTATAGAAGGCGAGATGCCCAAGCTCAAAAATCGGGCGACTCGAAAAGTCTCAAGAGGCTTCTGCTCCTTGGTGAAGTTCCTCTCCCTGTGAAGATTGACGAAAACATTGCTGCCTTTGAGCACCAGTTGCTCCCATGCATCATCGTTGAACACTCCAAAGTGCTGTCGGAAGTGCCTGAAGTAGGGCACATCTTGCAAATGTTCCCAGCATTGTCGCCGCGCTGGGGTCCATTGGCCATCAAAGAACAGCGTCATGTTATTGATGTTGAAACTGTGGCTTGCTTTCTGCACCCGTGCGTCATTGCGTTCAGGGCCCTCTTTCACGGGCATGAAGCCTGGTGGGATGTATCTGACCGATTGGTCTTGTCGGTGTGGCCGATTGGCTCTAGTGTACTCCCAAACCTCACAAAAGTTCCCACTCTCCGCCACTCTGCTGTAGGTGGCGCCGGTTTTCAATTCAAACTCTGTGGAGTAAAAAATGCAGTAAACGCCACGGGAGCCGAGAGATCCATTTTTCCGACAGCTGCGTTCAAAGTCCGTTGCACCAATGTAGCTTACAAAGACCACCACGTCACCATTGCTGGCATTCAGCTGTCTGAGCTTTGCCTCGCATGTATATAATTAGACTGTTGCACTCTGCTGCTAAAAACGGAACAACATGAATCCACGCGCCTTGTCCACAAAGCCTGTCATGTAGCCGCACTCTTTGCCCCGGCTCCTCGCAAGAACCCAGGGTTTGGCTGACATTAGTTCCAGCATGTTCCAGCTTTTCATGCCCACTCTCCTCAAACCGTGTAGCAAGGTCTTGAAGATAGGCGTGAAGATGTAGTCAGGCCGAGGCCCGTCGCTGTATTGACGCACATTGCCCAGAACAAAAATACGGTAGCTGAAAGAGCCGTAGGCGTTGGTCACGTCGCTTTCGCACCGAATTCCCCGGCTGCATGAAAGATTTGCTGCTGGGACCTGCCCAAGCATACAAAAGCCAAAGATGTGAAAAACGATGCTGCAAAAGACTGGAAACCAAACAGACAAAAGTAGGCCAGTCATTTGAAACTTGAAACCAGTAAAGCTTTGGTAATTAGAATTAGTAATTAGTATACGATGTTTGGCTCAAGTTGCAAATGCAAAAACATATCCAACGCGCAAAGCCCCTTAAGTTGCAATTAGATATGGACATGGACCAACCTCAATCTCATGTCACAAACCTTTGGCGTCGGTGGGGGTAGTCAGAGACGTCAGAAAACTCTTTAGAAACTTTAGGGGGCACTGTGACATGCAAAGTTACCTCTCAGACTTGATTAACGCAGCGCTTGTCAAAAGCACAACCCTGGCATTGCATGGCCCTGTAACTAGCAGCGCCTCATCTGCCCAAACAACCGCCAGGACAGCCAACGCAAGCTGCACATGCAAAACATCGAGCATAGTTTCGAAATCAACATCACCAGAGCCAGAGCCAAAACCCTGGACGCTGGAGCAACACAGCACTCACTTTGCAATGTTCTTTCTAATGTGTTCTCGGTCACGACAAAGTCTGTGCTGGTACGACTTCTCGTTTTGTGCGTGTC